CAACGAATGAAGAAAAATATGGCACAGGAGGAAAAAAAGCTTTGGCTTCAGCCATCTCCTGCCCTCAAGCAAACATGCTTTTCTGATGGTAAATGTAATGATCCTTTAGGTGTTGTGTCTGTTTCTCTTTTAGAGTAAGATAAAGAGGACTTGATTCACCTTCGATCACCTACGGGGTTCCGTTGAACTTCAGTAGAGCTGGCGTGAGCGCTGCAGCATTGGCTCAGCACGCCCGGCTACTGACTGTTGGCTGGGGGAGCTCGTTTGAAAATCACGTTGCAGCTCTCGATACGCAACTGTTGGGGCATCACAAACAGGCTGAGTGCTCATTGGCAAGGCCATCTTGGTAGAACAGTCCGAGTGCTTGTTTCTTGTCGGTTGTTTTTCTTAAAATGATGTTTTTGTTCGTAATGGTAGGGAACTCTGCAAGGAAGATACTGGCGCATCCTTATGAACCTCGGGAACTATGCAGTTATAAGAGGAATGCTAAGATTTATGAACCTTTCCCAGTGAGAGACTTTGTAGTGTCTTTTACTCTTAATAGTAGAGTGGCTGGAGGCCACTACCTTGGAGAACTAAGCCTGTTTGGGATGAAACAAATTGCAGCCTCGGGATTCCTGTGGGCTTTGTCTGCCCTGTGCATCAGGAAGCTGAATGAGCGGCTTCCTTTGAGCTTTTTGACAGCACTTACATGCATATTAGGCAATTTGTTTTGTCTTCCAAGAAAAATTTCCAATTCTGCTCTCTTCAGTGGTAAGAAACCATAAACTGGTCAAAAGGAACCAGTTGTAGTGTCAGTACTGATTAAATGTGCCATTTCTTAGCCTACTGACATCATTCTCTCTAGCACCTTGGCAGGTAGCATCTTCCACTTCAGCCTTTGCAAGAAGTGGTTTCTAGAAGTTGTGAAGCCTGTGTGATGGAGGCCTTGAATATTTCTTCATCACGGTAGAGGTCCAGTCTTCATTTTTGCACAAAATCTGTGCTATTTGATCTGTCCAAATTTATATAAACCCTGTTGTACAGAGGCACAACATCTTTTATTTATGTAAAGATCTCTAATAATGAAAACAATGTATTCCATTATAAAGCATCTTGTGTTAGATCAGCATGATTTTGTTTTCCTGAAGTTGTATATGGTGATGAAAATCACGCTGTGATTTTGAGAGCTACGCAAACTGAAACGTGACCCAGGCTTTCGTTTTGTGGCAGGTTTGGAAGGGATGTTTCCAAAGAGGCTCTTTCTTGGCTGATGATGTAGTTAAGTCAACTGATGTAGTTCAATTAATATTTTTTTTCTCCTTTCTTTGTAGTGCTGAAATTTTGAAAAGTGATGTATGTTTTCCCCAGCTGTCCACTGCACAAGTGTAGGGGAAGGACATGACCAATCTTGCAATGCAGCCTGAAGATTTAAATCCAACCTGGTTATTTAAAAAGTACCACTTCTCTGTTTTACAAGGATTTTTTTATGTTGATTTCCCAGCTGTCCACTGCACAAGTGTAGGGGAAGGACATGACCAATCTTGCAATGCAGCCTGAAGATTTAAATCCAACCTGGTTATTTAAAAAGTACCACTTCTCTGTTTTACAAGGATTTTGTGTTGATTTTAAAAAGATGAAGAGTATTTTTTTCAACTTCACCATACCTTGCACAAGCAAGTGTTGTTTCTGTGTGTGTGTCTCGGCAACCAGTATGTCCGTTCTGTGGCCGCCGTGGGTAGGAGTGGCAGATAGCAGATGGCACCATCAGCCTGCGTTTCAGGTTCTCCACTATTCAAGGATTTCCAGTTTTTTGAGTAATTACAGTGTTTTTGTAGGAGCTCTTTTTCTTTTTTTCTTTCTTTTTTTTTTTTTCTTTCTTACTTTGGCTAATGCAGGAGACTAACATTTTAGGTTGAGTCTGAAAGCTCTTCGTGAGCCAGGCTTGGGGGCAGGCAGGGGTGTCTAGGGTCCACAAGCTCAGCTGATTTTCTTTCTTTCTTGTTTGGATGTTATGCCAAGTAAGTTCCTCTTCCTCGTATTTCCATCATCAACAATGGAATCATATAACAGCCAAAATAAGGACTGGTTTGCTGTATCTGCAAATGAGTGTTGCAGTGAAAAGTGAAGTTTTTTAAAAACTCCTTTTAGATTAAACACAAAGGGTGTGTTTTCCAGGAAGATAATTTTAAGCAGTGATTGGAGAGAAAGAAAAACAGAAACCCAAACATTTTAAAGCATGGAAACAGTTAGCATAGTATGCAAATAATAGATTTTGGGCTTTATTGTATTCTCAAATCGGTATGTCTGAGGTGTTTCACAGTTTTACTGTTGTAAAATTTTTTGCTTTGTATTGTATTTCCAGAGGAAAAATATTTAAAGGTCATCTTACCATCCAGAGTGTTCCTTGGCTGTTGAAGAGGGGTTTTATGTTGCAGGGATGATAGTAGTGGTGCATTTATCATTAAATCAGCATGTGCTTTTTTTTAACTAATCTACTTTACAGTCTATAGAGGATGATGCATGTGAAATATTATGCTATATAATGGTTTTTAGCAATGATTTAGATACTTTTGATACCTACACATTTCTAGATTAAATATTTTTGTTTAACAGATGAGATTTAAAAGAAAAAAAACACGATTTTTTTTGTAAAGCTGGTTTATGATGTTACTTTATCATTATCATGTATCTTTAATTAGGGTGAGATGTTGAGGGTAAGACTAAGTTACCTAAAAGTAGAAGCTGTGAAAAGATGATGTATAGGAGTTATTTAGTGCAGTTTATATAGGCTGAGAACACTGTTTCTTTGAATAGCTCTTAGGAAGATCTCCAGACCCTTTGGTTAGTGGTTCTGGAATAAGCACGAAATGCTGACAACGGAAAGCAAAACCATAATCGTGCTTATGTGACGGTGCCAAGTAATTTGAACATTTCAAGTCAGTCAGGCGCAGGCCTCTTCATCCATATTACGTGACTTCTTTAAACATTTAAAGATGATTTCTCTTTTTGAAGCATAAAAATATCTTCAAATTATTCTGATATCTGTTAGGAATAGGAAGTATTAAAAACGTTTCAGATTACTTTGGAAGTAGCAGACAAATTATTCTGAACTTGAAATAGGAAATTTTGCCCTATCTTATTAAGAAGATGGTTTTTGCTTACCACAGAAACCCTTTTATTAAGAGCTTCTCTGACAAATCTTTCCCATTGTTCTACCTAATTTAGTCTTTAACATGATGCAACCAAGAAATAAAATACTTTTACCGCTCTTGCATATGTTTTGTCCACACATAGTTTGGTGCTCTTCTGTAACTTTCACAATATCTTTTCCTTTTCATGCAATTAGACATTGGTAACCCTTGTAGCTTCATGGATTTATGAGTTCTAGCTGGAGCTGTGATAACTGACTAGCAGATAATGAGAATAGTAAGCTTTGCATGAAGCAGTTGCATAACTTGCCAAAGTTATCGCAGTCCAAAGTTTCCCACATTTATCCATCATTATATACAATGTTTTGGTATATAAAAATAATGAAGCTTTATTATGTGGACCTGCAGCCTGATATCTTGGTTTTGTGTACTCTATTATTTATGTTATAGAAGAAATAAGAACTATTCTCTTTTCACTCCTTTCACAATACAGGCTTCTGTCATACCTGCTGTTTTCCCTTTTCCAAAGGGAGATGATAGGCCCTAGCAGGCTCATCAGCCATTATTGCCTATCTCTGATCATCCTTGTTGTCCTTTTCTAATCCAGCTGTGTCCTTTCGGAGGCCCTTTGGTATGTCTTGTGTCAGTCAGCCTTCCTTTGGCCCAATTAGTTTTATCAACTACAAATAGCCTTTTGTTTAAAAAAACCAAGAACTTATCCTTTCTCCTTTTCTCCAGAAGATGCTGTGCAGCACAGATCTTAGTCCAGATATTTCCCTTTTCTCCTAATTTCCCTCTGTTGTGCAGAGAATCTCCTACTTTTCAGTTGCTTTTTTTCGTTCACAAACTTTACAACATCATGATTTTTTTAAAGGGGATTTCATTAACAATCTTTGTAATGTTGTTACTTAACGTCCATTGAGGCAATTTTAAGATGGAGAAAATTGCTGTTAGCTGCATATTTCACAATGCAGCTGCTTTCACACACACCCCCAGTCCTTAGCACTTCTTGTGTCGTTTGGAAATCCAGATACCTCAAGTCCATCACCATTTGTTAGCTGGATTCAAGCTGTAGTGTTCTCAGCCATTTAACTGGCGGAAAGCAAACCCACTTTCTTTGACTGGGTTTGTGGTCCGTTTTTCTGCTCATTTGCCATGTATACTTTGAATCCTCCCAAAGAAAATATTGATTTATGTAATGGTTAAATACTCCCTTTTCTTTGAAAAACTCTATGCTGCTGCTTGTTTTTCTTTCTATTATTTGATTTTTGTTATTGCTTGGAGAAAACGATTAGTTGTTTACAGTTGAAGAGCTGTGTGCACTCTTCAGTGTAATCTCACCCAGTCTCCATTCATTATTACAACTTCACGCTGCCACGGAGTCTGGGGGAATGAGAGCTGCTGCCCATGGGAGAGCTGAAAGAGCAGGAGAGCTCCTGTCCCAAATTTACGAGTCATAGGCCCTCTCCATTACAGACGTACCGGGAGGTCACAGCCAGCCAGCAGCAATGGAACCCTTCAGTGAAGCTTCCTGGTTCACTGCGTACAGACTTCTTTTGCAATCAGCTTCTGTGCAGCCATTAATACTCGATGGAGCAAATCAGTAATATTTTTCCCTTTTGCCTTATTTGAGTATGATAATTAGGGAACCCAGGTATAAGTGCATAATCCTTTCTAGTTAATAGATGATTGAAACGCATCTCATGTCTCTTTATCTGTAAAAAATGCAGAAAGTTGTTTGTGTATAGTTCACATGCAGTTTTATTTCTAATTCATGCCACTGTGTATTCCTGTATCAGTAAGCTGGTGTTCTCTCTTAGCTGTATTTTTATTTCCTAACCTTCCTTTGTCTCCACTAATGTTATGCAGGTACTTGTCAGTGAGGACTCTGATAGCGATGGTATTGTGGCCCACTTCCCTGCACATGAAAAGCCTATTTGCTGCATGGCTTTTAACCCCAGTGGTAAGTTATTTTGCTGTTTTAAGGTGGTAGCTGTAAACAAGGTGAAGACAGTAAAATATCATAGGTATGCATTCCATTGCTGTGGAGGAATTGCAAATACCACTGTGATACGTGCAGATATTTACTGACTGCTCCTAGGACTTTTGACCTGCTCTGTTGAGTGTGGAGTGTGTCATACGCTGGTTAATTTGTCTTTTCGAACTTCAGCAACTGTTGCACTATGGTATACATGAGAAAATTCAGTCTACTACTTCAGAGGTAGCAAAGTACTAAGGAATTATATTCTTATGGGTATTCTGCCAGCCACAGGTATCCAGATGTTCTGATATGCAGGTATCCAGAGGATCAGCACACGTATTAAATTGTACTCCATAAATATGAAACTGAGTCATTTTGCTGGCACTGTTTTTTAAAGTAACTTCCACTGCCATTACGTGTTTTGTTGGTGAAGTTTCCAGTTCTGTCCTCTCTTCTGAGTGAATTCACGTATCATCCAAAAATACTTTTAATAAACTTGTCAAAAGTATATATTCCTCTCATTCCTCCTTGTAAATGAACAATAACTGTGGGCAGTAGATCACTACTGATCTAATCTGTTAATAAATCTTATTAATTTGACAATGAAAATGTTTATTATTCTATTGATAGACAGCAAAAAAGAAATGTTTTCACTCGTCACAGTAGTCAGTGAAATGGCCAGTGAATTAACAGCTTCTACTTGCCTAAATTAACATTTCTAAAATGTGGCAAATGCCATGAAGATCTTGAGGGAGAAGTCATATTTCAAAGAATAAAACTAAATGTCTGTCGTTTCACTTTTTGTGACCAGTTGGTCTTAATCTGACATCCCATCTGTTGTGTCAGAACACTTTAGTGGTGGTGTGCAGTTCACAGCATTTTCACTGCGAGCTTTTTGACATAGAAAACTCTGTTCTCATCTGGCTGAATTTTCTTCTGATACAAGAATTTTTTGTGGAACTCTCTGCATTTAACTGAGAAATAACTATGCTGATTCCAGTATAGTAACATTTCTGCTTTGCTTTCTTTTAGAAGGTTAATACCTAGACTTGAGCGATGTTAATTAAGTGAAATAAATACAGCTGCTTAAATTAGAGTGCTTTATAGATATAATTAAATGCTGCCTTAAGACAATTTTTATGACTCTATGAATTTAAGGGAAACAATGTTTATGCAAAAGCAAATTAATTTGTTTTATAAATTGAAAGATATATTTGCATATTATTGGATTATGTGCAGTATACTCAAGTTCTTTTGGTTTGGTCAGGTACTGCAGTTACCATCCTTTGTATATGATCTAGCAGATGTTTACCTTGGATCTAATGGTGCAGTAAGATACTTAATGGCAGAATGCTTTTTCTAATTGGTGTTATTTCTGAACTGATTGCAAATTACGGATGTTATGAGATACCTGCGGGAGGGATGATTCACAGCAAGGTATTGAATCATACTGCATGTTTGGGGTACAGCAGTATCAAAACAGTTGAAATGTGTGCCTCAGCTGCTTCCTGTATGAAAGCAGCACTTAACACAGGATTCCCTAATCTTTATTTAACATCAAGGCAGAATTTTGTTTGAAGCCAGTGTTGTAAGGAGCATCATCGTAATCTGTTATGTGATGGTGTATTGGCAGTCAGGCTGATCTGACTACAGAAAATAACAAAAAAAGAGGTGGCTTTTGAGACTGTCTTCACCTGTTGGCTGGTTGTAGTGCAAAACCATGTTACTGTGTAGTGATGCTGCACTAGAACACGGCAACTGCAAATTCTTGCTATAACGGCAACAGGGAACACAGATCTGTTTCAGTAAACTATTTCATTCTCTACGGCTGATTAAATCACTTGATTTCATCATGTCTCATCCCAGGGGCCTTTGAGCTCCACAGGTATTCAGGTCTGTAAAAACGTATGGGACCGCGTTTGAAAAAGAGACCTAAACCAAACCACCGCTGACACTGGAAACCATTGAAGGTGGATGGATGTGGAAGAGCGAGGTCTATGATTTTTGTGTAGTAAACCAGTAGAACAGTGTCACAGCCACTTTAAGCCTATTTTAAAAGTATCAGTTGTCAGTAAAGTACATTTTTTGGGTTTCTACTCTTTGTGTTCTCATACTAACAAGAAGCTTTCTAGGGATGAGTTAATAGTGACAAAATAGCAGTGCGTCATTTACAAGTATCATTGTGATACTTGCTCTTGGGAAGGGGTAATGTATTGCTTCATTTTAGCATTGTCAGGAAATAATTCCATGGGAAGGTAAGACTTGCTAATGGCAGTAAATGGCAGTAATTTTTTTTTTCTCCCTCATCTTTCTTTTTGAAACCAAGAAGAAAATCCTTTACTGCACTTGGTGTCCAAAAAATGTTGTTATGGGCCGGCTTGGAAGTGTTGCAAACAATGGCAGGAGTCTTACTGGTGGATAGAGTCGCTTTTTCCACCCCTGTTTTGTTTTGCTTTGGTTTTGAGGCTTTGGGAGTTGTTTTTTCTTCCCAACAGGGTAAATATTCTCTGCGACGCTCTGAGAGGGGTCAGTTGGCAACGAGAGTTTGCTGTACGTGCGGCTTCTTACTGCAGCTGTGTTACGAGGCAGAATCATGAAAGAACAAGCAGGGGTGTTTCTGCACAGCATTTCATTGTGCTGTGTAATTACTACAGTGACTTTTTCTGGCATTAGAGCTGCCTTTTGTTTAAATTCAAGGCAAATCTATTGAATTTTTCTCTTTTCTGTTTTTGAGGTATTCGAAGAAAGAAGAAACTTGGCATATAGTTAGCTTTTTTGTATTGGATCTATGGCTACTCTGAAAATCTGGTTGAATAATAAAATAATAAGCTTGAAATAGTGTTTCTGAGTATACTTAGGAGGCACCGTGTTTGGGTTTGGTTTTTAACGCTGACTAGCATGTCCCTGTGTATGCCTTCCAGACCCGTATGTTAATAAAAGCTTGCTTCCGAGTCAGTTGATTTTTGGGAGACCGTAAAAATCTCTAAGACATAAGGCAAATCATGTTTAACATTAGAAAGGAAAAAAAAGTCACCCAAAACCGTAAAGGAGAAAAACTTCAGTTCCTGCTAGTTTAGGTTTTCTGTGTGATTTCCTGTATACATCAAATTTTAGTTTTCAAAAAAAGTTGTGATGATTTACTAGGGAGAGTAGGTTGCTGGAATGGTTTTGGTTTTTTGGGTTGTTGTTTTTTTTTTGTTTTGGGGGGATGGGGGGAGAAACGGTCACAGGGAAGAGGAGTATTTGTAATACAGCTGAAAATCTGTGGCCAGGCATCTCATCCCCAAAATAGCTTAGCCCTATGGAATTTTGAAAAGCCGAGTCCCTGCATATATTGTTATTGCCTCTCCTTAACGTTTTTCGTTTTGGTAGGTAAGATGTGTAGTAGCTCAATAAAAGTGAAAAAGAGCCGGTCCTCCTTTGCCGTTTGTTGCAGATCGAATCTTTGGGAAACAGGCACAAAATGCTAACTTGGTCCTTATTCTAGTGGCAAAAATAAAAATTACGATGTGAGCTGCCGTAATCCCTTCTCTCTGCCAGTTGTGTTGTCAGCTCTGGTTGACAGCGTTTCGCCTGGCCAGCCTTCTTGTGCTGGTTTTGGGAGGGTGCTTAAGAGATCTGATTCTGCCTTTCAAGTTCAGGTGACTTTGTACCGTTCCGGGTTTTCTCTTTTCTTTTTTAATTGCTAGAATACGAGTATTTAATGTACCCTTTTCTCCCATAGGAAACCAACAGCATTTCTATACGCTTTCGTTGTTATATGCCAAAACCGTGACTTATTTCCAGAAGGCTCTGTGTGCCAGTGGTTGCTTCTGTGAGTTAGGTGAAGAGAGGGTCCTTCATCCGAAGCACTCGTGTCTTATTTTCAGACATCCCTCCAATACTGAATATATTAAATGAATGTTATAGTAGTAATTTAGCATCGCCACGTGCCGTGGAAGTTACGCTGCACAGAAACAGGAAAAAGGGATCTGATTTTGCAGTATTTTCACTTAGCAAGTATTGCGTACACATGGTATTTGTTTATTTTTTCCCACAACCCCTTCCCATGGCGTGACGCTGGCAGCGCAGCGTGTGGCAAGGAGACCTCGTGTCAGAGGAAGGAGCTGCAGGGCCCCGGCCCAGGTGATGACCAGAACTGGGCTCCTGCCAGCAGAATAATTCATGCAGCTTGGCAATGGCCAACAAGGGGGATAAACTCTGTGGCTGATAGACCTTAAGCTGGGCTGCAAACACGCAGCCTTGTGCGTGGCAGTCGCTGGATGTCTTTAGACCATGGCCCTGCTTCTCAGCTGCTTGGGAGGAGAGTGATAGTTCTGCAGCCGCGTCGGGAAGGACCCACGTCGAAGAAGAAAGTCACAGCTCGTAGCCCATAGAAAGCATCGCGAGGGAAACGAGCTGCGTTCTGAGTATTCGGTGCCTCATGGATCACCCAGCTGATGTCTGTGCGCAGCAGCTGCCGCAGACAGCGCCGAGAGCACCATGTCCACTCTTTCATTTCTGAACAAAGGAAGCAGCTTCTAGCTTTTAGGAAGACTTTAAGCCTTTTATTGAAACTTTTCAAATGAGAATAAATAACGCAAGGAAGTGAAGTAATATTAATAGGCTGGGAACTTTATTAATGTACCTCTGGCATGTATATTGATGTAGTGGAAACAAGAGGCTTATACTTACAAAGAGACTCTAAGAACAGTTACTTTAATTCACTTATTAAATGAAAAATCACATTAAGCTTTTGTGTGGATGCTTTTACTTAGCGTTAACGTTGGCTTGATTTATTTTAGTTTGAATATTCAGTTTTGAATGAATTGAAGGCCCGTTTACTGTGGACAGAGTGTCCAGACAAAAATTTAGTCCCAATTACTAGTTCCCATTACAGAATTTAGATTAATTTTTCAGACTGCATCTGTGTAGATATGCTCCCAAACCTATGCATCGTATTTTTCTCGGGGTTGTTTTTGATGAAAATCTCGATACCTTTT